GCACCAATTTTCTCCTGCCAGCAAGATTGCAGAATTGTGTACACAAATGGAGGGGTTAATAAAATGGGACCAGGGCACCTCCCTACTGGCACAGGGGTTAAGTCTTAGCACTATGAAGTTATCACCAGCCACTGCAGCACAAGTTTGAACCCCAGCCAGGGAACTGACCCACATGGCGCAGCAAGACCTCTCCTGACTCACCCGCTGCTCCCCTCAGCAGTGTATTTCAGTAGATCCACCTGTTTTGCTCCCCACTCTATCTCTGCTGACTCCTCTCACCCCTGCACCTCTGGCCTACACCACAGTTCTTGTATGCATAAATTTTAAAAATTAAATAAATCTATTAAAAAAATAAGATGGGACCAGTAACCCCCAGAAACAGGAAGGCAAAGACGGTATCACTACAGATGCAAGTACGTAGGTAGGGATGGGAGTCTTTAGACCTTCTCCTTAGGTTGCTCCATTTTTCTCAGTAAGACAGGAAACAAGGTAATCATCTGAAAGGGTGGATTGTGGAGGCGGGATTGACTATTTGCAGAGGGGAGTGTATAACATTATTGTGCTAGCAGAGAGACACTTACTGGATTAGGGGCATTGTAGGATTCCAGGACAGCGTTATGGGCCTCTGGAGTCAGAGAATATGAATTTAAAGTGAGATCAATCAGAATGGTTACATGTCTTGCTCCTACTCTGTCCAGGTACTGGAGAGATGGTAAGAGTGGACGAAGAATTGGACATAACTAATATTCTAATTTAGCTAAGAAATTGCAATGAAACAAGAGAATCAGAAGGAAGTTAAGAATGTTTACGGAAGTGGTTATGATGACGAATTATGAAACTTAATTTGGACAAGGTGGGTGGTGAAGAACAAAGAGATGAGAAAGTGGAAAGATGGTAGAATCCAGGGTTGCGTTTGGTTTAGTGGGTGTGGGATTATTGCAATTTCGGTACTAGGGGAAGTAGAAATAGAGAAGGTGGTTGTGAAAGTGGAATGTTTGAAACTTAGATTTAGGATAATGTTTAGTTACTTGTAAGGAAAAGATCAAGGGCATGACTATGCAAGTGAGCAGTGGGTGGAGGGTGGATTCTGGTATGATCATCTTCATGAATATTAAAATCAATGAGCACCAAGCCAGGAAGAGTGCTCAAGAGTGACAGTGAGAGAAAGTATGTGGGGGAGCAGTTATGACCGGGGTGCGTGATGGTGCTAGTAGGTGTTGGCATGAGATTCAAAGTTGGGTGGTTTTATGGAAGAAAGAAAAAAAAAAAAACTGTACTGCAAGCAACAAAAAGGAGCAAAGAAGAATTTCTTTTTTTTTTTTTATATATAGACGCATGTTTTTACTTATTTATTTATTTATTTGTTTGTTCTGTTTACACATGCACTGGGTACAGTCAGAAGCGCGGGAGGGTGAGAGAATTCACCAGAGCCAGAGCGGGGAGCAGAGCAGGCAGAAGGACCGAAGGACACTGCTGAGGGGAGCAGCGGGCGGCAGGAGAGGTCTGCGCGCCATGTGGGACCCTCCTCTGGTGGCCGGGGAGCAGCCGGGGATCGAACCGGCGCCGCAGAGGCTGCGGGCAGCTTCGCAACCCAGCGCTCAACCGCTGCGCCACCGGGGAGGCCTGCAAAGAAGAATTTCAAGGCACAAGGCAGCCTCAGAAAAAAGGTAGGCTTACCTTAAGCAAGAAGGTAAAGAAAATATTCACAGGAGAGGCTGAGGATGCAGAGGATTTTGCAAATGATAGACCTGGAACGAACAGACACAGGAAAAACACCATAGAATATGGGGAGGAATAGGAACTGGGGTTCAGAAAGGTGAGGCACCAAGTTTAAGCACATGAGCATGGGAAATGAAAGACGACTAGGAAGTCTGGTGATAAGGGCACAGTCAGCTGGTCCGAATGCCCGAAGGCAGGTAGGGCAGAGAAGCAGTGAGTGCTGAGGGCAGGGGAGGGTTGGTAGGTGGTGGTCTTGCCAGGGGCGGGCAGAGTATGAGGACCCTGGGACTCCTTGTGATGGCTGCACGGACCCTCCCAAGGGCCAAGTCTTAGGTGCACGCTGTGTCTTTCTCCTTCCCCGGGTGGCCTGGAGAGGCGCCTCCACAGCTCAAGCAACCCCCTGACTTCTACTGTAGGAAGCTTCAGGGAGGGGGAAGGGAAATGCCCTCCCCCTCATGAATTCATCATCCACATTCTTGAATGGTACTTTGAGCCTTGTTTCTTATTCAAGTGAGCAAATTACTAAAGCACCAATGGGAAAAAAAATCTTTGGATCAGAAATAAATAAGTCTGATGACTCAATAGCAGGAGGTACTGCAAAAAGGCTCCGCTGACTGCTGTCTGAGAGAAGTCAGGCCCAGAATATATATCCCAAATTAAAATATCTCCCCAACTGCCAATCTCCACATCTGAAATGTCATCGTTAGAGAACCATAGAATTTCAAGTCTGAGAATTTAAGCGAAAGGCATCACACTGGAGCAGAGTGAGTGCAGAGCGCAGCTGCCCCTGGCCTTGCCAGTCATGTCAGTAGCCTTGCACTTAGCCCCTGACCCCACCCTAGAACATTCAAATACCGCAGTGAGGACCTGTTTCTGTTGGGTGGAGATCCTTGTGTCAGGTTCTCCTTTCTGCTTAGGGCTGGTGTGGAAAGAGACACACTGTTGGCTTTGGATTCTGGGAGTCACTTAACAGCATGAAACATAAAATTGGGGCCTCCCTGCTGGCTCAGGGGATATGAAGAAATCCGCAGGCACTGCAGCAAGAGTTTGATTCCCGGCCGGCCAGAGAGAAACCCACACGGTGGGACAGACCTCTCCTGTCTCGCCCACTGCTCCCCTCAGCAGTGTACCTCAGTCCATCTGTCTGTTCTGCTCCCCGCTTTGTCTCTGGTGAATCCTCTCGCCCCCGCATCTCTAGCCTGTACCCCAATTCTTGTATAAAAATAAATAAATCTTAAAAAAAAAAACATAAAATTGAAGTGATTATACATTGGAGGGAAGGTATATGTAGACTTCTGTGAAGCTTGATCCCAGGCCAGGGAGCTGACCCACATGGCACAGCAGACCTCGCCTGTCTTGCCCACTGCTCCCCTCAGCAGTGTATTTGAGGGTCACCTGTTCTGCTCCTTACTCTGTCTCTGGTGAATCCTCTCACCCCCGCACCTCTGGCCAGTACCCCAGTTCTTATATGCATAAATAATATATATATATATGTATGTGTGTGTATGTATGTATGTAAATCATACATAATACATGTATATGTATGTATGTATGTATGTCTCATATATATGTATGCGTATATGTCCCTAGAGGCTCAGCCACACAAATACCCTGGATCCCCCCATAGTCTTAACACATAGTACTGCCCTATAAGGTAAAAAGTCTCTGTCTTGAAAGTATTTGAGTAAAGACCATGGATTAGAAACACTATAAAGATCACTCCTGGGGCCTCCCCGGTGGCACAAGGGGTTAAGCACCACACTATGGAGCAATCCGCAGACTCTGCAGCATGAGTTCTATGCCCGGCCAGGGAGCAACCCACATGGTGCAGGAGACCTCTCCTGACTCGCCCGCTGCTCCCCTCAGCAGTGTATTTCAGTCAGTCTGCCTGTTCTGTTCCCCACTCTGTCTCCGGTGAATCCTCTCATCCCCCCACCCCATGTCTCTGGCCTGTACCCCAGCTCTTGTATGCATAAATAAATATTTCTTAAAAAATCACTCCTAAGTTCTCCTCTAAGTACAGATTCTAAAATTCCATGAAATTATAGCATAATTGGACAAAAAGTCTGGATCAAGTTATAAAGTAGGAAGAATTTCAGTGTTTTCCCCAAGGTAGGCAGAACTTCTCATTGCCTTTGGACTATTTGAGGATCGCGCCCCCCCTCACTTGCACTCCCCCCCACCCCCACACACACACATGTCCTCCCTTGGAAGCGCCCATCCTGAGAACTCATGAGCCTCTTGCCTCCCCACCACCTCCAGTCCCCACGCCTCGGCTGACAGATTGTGCCCCCAGACGCAGTGTGGTTGGCTGGTTAAGAACACAGATGTTGGCAATGCATAATGCTGAGGGACATTGGGAAAATTACTTAACCTTTCTGATTTTTGCTTTTTCTGTTGTAAAAGAGCAATAACAAGAGGTCCTTGGCAATGGTATAGGGCAGATGAAATGAGGTGTGGTATTTAGCACAAAGCTTGTGCACAGTAAGTGTTCAGTAAATAATACCCATTGCTGTTTCTTGTGTTGTGTGACCTTGTCACTTTATTGCTGTCTCTATTTTCTTGCCGCTATTGTTTTTGCTGTTGTTGCTCCCCTGTTAATCTCTTAGGAGGCTGATATCAGCCCCCTCCTGATGTGAGGCACGTGGACGGTGCCGCACCCACCGGGTGTTCTCACTCACACAAGGACCAAAGACCGGGCAGCTGGTCTCTTCCCACTGCACCTGTGCCCATTTGCTTACCTGACAGTCAGTTTGGGGGCCCTTTGACCACTCCCAAATAATGCAAATGAGGCAGCAGCCATCTTCTGGGGACCAGGTGACCTAGAAATGAGTGGGTAGCTTCAGAGTCTGTAGTCATTCTGACTGCCCTGAACACTGCATTTTTTTTTTTTTACTTCTCCATGCTGATTGTGGGTATGGAAGACTTAAATGTTTTTATTTGCACAAATCAAAAGTAAAGGAAAAATGTGACCTCAAAATACTCCTCCATAAAACATGGATGAGTGTAGGGTAAGGAAAAATGTCAGGCTTTTCTGCCCTCCTGCCATCATGGTAGATGATGGATCCTTGTGGTCCTGCACTGTGGTCCATTCCTGACCTCACAATGAGAAACACCATAGTCAAATGTTACATGGTGGACTGTTAGAGGATAGTGCATTCAAATATTTAAAGCCCATTCCTTACCTGGGTTAGCGAGGAAAGTCGTCATTTTCTCTTTTCGCTCCATGTTGCTTGCTCCATTGCCTTTGTTTCTGGTTTTCCAGAATGAAGAGTCCACAGTTGTCCAGAAATAACATTTATTAATCAACAATAAAACACACAATGGAAAAGACCTTATAAAGAAAACTATATATTTATAATGCTTTATTATGTTTTGTTCCAGTACTCCACAAAACACTACAGACAGTAACAAAATAATTCAATAAATATTAAAAACTTTCAAGAGAATTTTAAGACACTCTTTATCATATGTGAGCATCAACAATGCCACAACCATTGATACACTATTAAACACTATCATAGATATCTTTCTTGAATAAGGGATATGATTAATTTGTTTATCCACAAGTCATAACATTTACACATACCCATACACAAGAGAATAGCTCAGAGTAAGTGAAGCAGCCACCCCAGTGAAATGGAATCATCTGCCTGTACATCGTTTAAAGATATTATGGTGTTAACAGGATAGAGGTCAACACACTAAAGAGAAACATTGGGGTTTTGCTTGGGGTGGGAGAAAGTAGGGCAATCAATGAAAGCTGCTTACATATTTTCCATTGCTCGCTTAGCAATATGCTCCCTTCCCTTTTCTGCCTTTTCTTGGTTGAGGTATTCCAGCACTTTTAGTAACAGGTCTTCATCCAGGTAACGTCTGTTTGGAGAATCGTCATTCTTTGGGGTCCCCACAGGGAACCTTTTGCTCACCGAGGCTAGCTGGTCAGTCTCGTGAGAGATGCCTTGATTCACATGCTCTTTAACAGCCTGCTCGAGCTGGTCCTCTTCCTGCAGGTCATCTTCAGATGAGCCTTGACTAGGAACTCGCTTCACCTGGTTTGAAGCCATGATCTCAGGGTATTTAACTAGCATCCTGGCCAGGTACTCCCCTAAATCTTGATCTTTATCATTCAGGTTTTCATACACCAGTTGTCTGTTGTCCACATCTGGCATCCAGGCAGTTTTGGGAAGCTGGTTTGCTCTAGATCTTCCGAGACCATAGGGGAGTCTTGGCAGAACCTTCTCCCGATTATACTGATTGGGGAAATATGAAGGCTTTTGATTCGCTGTGCCCTCCATCCCTAAAAGACTTAAAATGTCCTCAACACTGAGTCCATCTGGTAGGGCATCTGTCATAGCACGGCCAGGGGCTTTGGGGTAGCCACTCTTGGAGACCATCTTGTTCTGGAACAGGTCAGCACGGTCTAAGTCAACCTCTGGGATGTCATCTAGGTCAACAGGAAGTTCAAGCTCCTGGTCTGGTTCCACTGACCCATTTGGCTTCTCTCCATTTTTGAGCATGTCAATTAAGTCTTCAGGGGGTATCTGTAAATTCCTTGAGATTTCAATCAGCTGATAAATAGACTGAGAATCAAGTGGCTTCTCAAAAAGCCGGGCCGCTCTGTCCCCGTTTTGTGACCTCCCATTCCCTGCGACGTTCACTAACCTTTTCAGATAGGCCATCACTTTGGAGATGTCATCCGAGAGCTGGTCTTTACTCTCCCTGGGGAGATCTTCGTCCTGGAGGCCCAGGGGCCCGGAGCGCTTCATCTCATCATTGATTTGCTCAGTCTTTTCCGTATTCTCCTTACTGTCTCTCACCTCTTCCTGAGTTTGGCTCTCTATTTTCTCCTCCACCGGGTTCCAATCTTCTCCCCCAACCACATCTTCATAGGCAATGTTATTGGCCTTGTAGATGTCATCTTCATCATCTGCATAAAGTTTTTGCTCCTCATCAATCCTTTCACGCTTCTGGGTGTTTGGTCCGGTCAGTTTTCCGAGCTCTTGGAAGACGGATTCCAGGGTAGCAAGACTTTGAGGAGTGTATTGTTCCTCCACTATTTCATTCGTGCGCTTGAAGGGGCTGTCCCTGGAAGTCTCCTCATACATAGGAGGGAATCGCATGTGCTTGAGCTTCCTCTCGGGCCACTGTGGGGTCTCATAATCATCAGTCACGTCCACTGGAAAGTTCTTTTCTGAATTCAAGGCATAGGGCTTGTTGTCTTTGGATGTAGACTGAGGCTCATTTTCAGCCTGTCTCAGAGCTTCAAGGATTATCCTCATCCACTCATCTTCACTCAGGGGATCCCTTGAAATTTCTGGCAAGTGACTTTCATCACCACTTTCTTTCTGTTGAAGGGGAACAGAAACACCTTGGTAGGGATTATAGTCTGGGCTGCTTTCTTCTTTGTGAGCTTGCTGTCGGAGCTTTTCTATGTACTCCAAAGCCCTGATCATTTCCGGACTGGGAAACCTTTGGACATTTTCCAGTCTGAGCTCTGGCTCCTTCTGAAGCAGCTGGTTTCGCTGAAATGAAGCTGTTTCAGCCCCAGAGATGAGGAAAATTAAAGGGATGAGAGACAGGGCTGCTCCAAGCCGGTGAGTCTTAGCTTCTGCCATGTTGAAAGATTTCCTTAAAGCATAGAAAACATGGGTCAACACAACTGAAACAGACTAGCAGATGCTGCAGCACCATCACTGAGGGAAATATAAAATATGGTAGGGATTATTTCACATTAAAGTTAGGATAACTTTTAAAAACTCTATAAAGATTTTCTATAGGATCCTCACAAGCTCACAGGAATCCTTATCAAAATTGTTACCCTTCTTTATTAAATCTGTATAGCATTAACAATAACTGAAGCAATGATAGGACGTTTGTCAAATTTTATTTTTTAGATTCGCATGTGTTCTTCTAAGACTTTCCAAGCTAAGTCTTAGTTCTCTTTGTAGCATTCCCATTGAAATCATTGGCCAAAAAAAGAATAATTAGCTTAATTTTAAAACATACATGTACATTCACACATGCTATATTATTTCCTTAAGGTTATCAAACAACGTGAGAATTATTTCCTGGAGAGTCCATCTAATGCTTTTTTTTTTTTGCAGAAACACAGCAGCAGGACATTATTACATACAATGTAGTGCCACAGCACTCCATTTGTCTAAATCTCATTCACAGACAGTTTTTGGAAATAACTTGTTCTCACTGTCACACAAGTCCATCGATTTGGGAAGGCTAAGATCTTAATAGCCTCCCATTACCTGGGTCTTCTCTGGGCATAGTTAGTAGACTAAAACAATGAGGTTTCTTTCTGTGTAAACAAACAATACCAATAAACTCTTTTAAATCCCTGTGCTTTATAGTTCTCTTAATAATTTTATTGTGGCTGTCTTGCAAAAGGCAATTGTGGTTATATTTTCATCAGCTCTCAAAGCTGTATAGTAAATAATAACAGATGCTACAGAGAGAACATAAGTTTTCTTAACTAGTCTATTTCTGAACTTGTGAGTGTTCAGATTCAGCTTAACTTATGTCTGTGTCTATTTTGGTATGGACCTGTGAAATCTTAAATGACTCATACTGTTAGAAAAATCTTAAAATAACCACTATGTAACTCCCGATTTGGATAAACACAGATGATGTGTTGAATTCTTCCTACTTAAAATATTCATTCATTTTTTTCTCTAATGCTTTATAATCTCATATATGAATTAGCAAGGGTATTCATATCTACATCTAATACAGTTTTTTGCAAATAAAATAAAAGATTTTTATATATAGTTCATGATTATTATATGAATCATGGCTTTGTTAACTTGGACATCAATTTCAGTTAACTTGGACATCAATTGTAGAAAATATCATTGTTCACTATATAATATGGTAATTATGTTTTTTCACTTCTTAGAACCTAAAAATGGTGATAGAAACTTCTTTAGCACAGAGGCATATATTTATTTAAATGATTCCCATTAACCTATTTAATTTACTAAAAGAAAAATCTACACAAGTATGTCAGAGAATACTTCTAAATTAACTACTATCAGACAATATTTACTACTAGAAATTTTATTCATAAATTTTTAGGTTTAATCAAGGACATTATACATTCTTTTAATATTATTTCAGGATAATTTAGTTTTAGCAATCTATTTCCAACACTGGCATTTGAAATAGTAATTTTTAAAACCCCCTCACAAACTTATTTTCTTCATTTCCCGACGTATTCAAACATAAGGGCTGTGTGCTATCTTTGAAATCACTATCTTGTTTTGCTGTGGAGTGGAGATAATACTCATTGCAATTGTTTAAATTACAGCCTAACAAGTGCTACCCCTTGGTCATTTATTGAGATTCAGTTTGAATGACATAGTTATTTGCCTTTGAATAAGACTCAAGGGATTTCTTTCCCAGGTAGCAGGGAAGTAATGAAAGATGGTTTCAACAGCTGTAATATCCTTTAGGGTTTGACCAAAAGCCTCTTTAGTTAAAATGTCTTATCTATTAAAATAAGACTGGAACCCTGAAAAATGCAGGTGAATATATCTATTGTGAGTAATTTTACCAGCCGGGATATAGAAAAAAAGAAATACTTGTCTTATTCAAAATCTTTAACAAAATATTATCAACCTCTTTCAATCAAAACATAATAACAGTAATAATTTATGCAGTTCTGAACATTTTCATTACATTTCCAAATCATCACTTCCCTATAATTCACAGTTGCATCCAGTCTATAATAATCTTCACTCTGAATAGAAGCAGCAGCCCATGTTCAGGATAATTCTATTATTACTTTTCTGACACTAAATTAGACAATACTAGAAGCCCTTTTAGAATATACAAATTCAGAAAATAATGTTATATAGTTATTTAATTTTGAGCTCGTGTGAAGTAAACGTGAAAGAAAAAAAACTATTTCTAAAATTGGTTGCCTCTATGACTAATGGGGTTTAATAACCTTTGAATCATTGGAAAACCTACTGTTAAGAAAGATAAGCATATAAACTATAGCTCGGCTTTCTATCTGGTCCTCAAGAGAGGAAAACAATCAATTAAGAAAAAAAAAAGGCTTGGTTAACTTACCATTCATGTGTGTATTGACACTAAAATCTGAACTTTTTCATGCTTTTTACGTACGATTATCTAAATAACATTATGGTGAATAAACATCCAACCCCAAGTAGCACAAATCACAGATTCAATCATAAATGCACGTAGTATCCTTAGAGAGACTGATGAGCAGCAGGTTGCCAGTCAGTTATAACAGATACAGGCGTCCCTAACTGTCTTTCTCTTCGCAGCTAAGAATTAAAGGAAGAACATGCATTTAGAACTTCCCAGGAAAGCAAAAGGAAAAGCAATCTTACCTCCTTTTTTATATTGCCGCGAGAACCACCACAGCATGTTCCTTGCAGTCCGCCGGGTGAGGCTGCTTGGGCCGGTTCAGCACCCGGACAGCTCCTGGGCTTATAGGGAGCCGCCGCGCCTGACTCCGCACTGCACACTGACGTCACCCGGCTCCACCACAAACCCGAGCACGAGCGAGCTTTTTCAAAGAACCAGAGAGAAAATAATCACTTTAAGTATTTAAAAAAAAAAGGTTGCATGCTTACGCCACCTGTCTTTTTGTGGCAAAAATTGCACTTTTCTTTTATCAAAATCTTTGAGGCTTGAAACAAAATGCATCATTTCCCTTAGAAAGAAAGAAATTTGTCAGACACCCCATGGCTAATTGCCATATAATCTCATCTATGTTTCTAATATCGTCTTGGTACTGTTGTTGTCGTTGTCATTACGAGAAAGTTTTACAGACAAGGATTTTGTTTTCATTGCCCAACAAAAAAATGACATTACAGTTCCCTGGTATGTCCAAGAGGACGGAAGACACATTATAGACATGAAGAGTCACGTCGCATATCCTGCCCACCAAAGCATTGTTTTGAGAATCACATTTAGTTGAATTTAAGAAAAGTTTTCTCTTTTGATATGAGGTCAAATTTGAGGCCCTGTGACTTGGAATTTCGATTTAGGGATTCGATGTAATTTGATTTTCTTGCTTTCATTTTGTCAATATAATTTTGAAGTGGGAGTTTATAAGATTTCAGTTCTAGTAGTTGACATTTTTTTAAGAATTAGTTGGTATATATTTTATCAGATATAAAGGTGAGATTTTATATCTCAAAATGGGAAGCTAAGCAGTTGAGCGCTAATGAAAATACTTCCATTAGGAAAAAAAACAAATGAAATATTGAGGGAAAGATGATACTTATGTAATTGGAATTCATTACAATTGGGAGAAAGTTGTACTATAAATATTTTCTTTCTCCTGTTGAATCAGGTGAATTGACTACCTTCCATAAATGTAACCCACCCAGGGAACAAAATAGCAGTTAACTCCCAATTTTTCAGATTTCTATTTCGTGATCATTGCTGTGTTTTTCCAGGTAACATGATTATATCTTCTAATAATTTATGTTAGTCTAAATGTTTAACTTTATTGTATTAATGATATGAGTTTCCTAAGAACTGTTTTATTTTGAAATATAGTATGCAACAAAAGAATTCTGTTATATAAAAATGCCTTCTCTGTGAAATAGTCATTGCTATATTCATTCAATAATTTGTAATGCCTACTAAGTGTTAGATGCAAAGAAGAATGATACATATAAAGGATAAAGAGATCTATGTAGCATTACAATCACAGATAAACAGTGCCCTGTATAAATGCAGATTTTTCCTTTTGAAGATCCTTTGTCTAGTGGGGAATGACAGATTATTTTGATATAATTTGGGAAAGCACTAAAACAGAAGTTAGCCAGCCATGTTTACGGAGCTTTGCAGAAAACCACTTGGTTCAAGTTAGAAATCCAGACCCGAGGGAAATCTCCTGGGAAAAGAAGTCTGAATTGAGATTTCTCATTATTAGGGTTTCTTTAAATGATTTCTAACTATGCTAGATTATCCACAGTATTCTTGGATAATTTTAACTCTTGGAGTTAAAAATCTCTGGGAAAAAGATTTGGAATAAGTGGCCCTTCATTCCCCCCTCTTTGTTCTTCTGGTGAAGGTAGTTGATTTTTCTAAATATCACTTGTAAATTGACCTGGAATACATTTGGGATGAGTAGGGATTCCTGTAACCAATTCATCCAATATATTTATGCCTCAAAATTGGTGGTTTTTTTTTTTGTTTTTTGTTTGTTTTTTGTGGGACCCTCACCGGTGGCTGGGGAACGAACCGGTGTTGCAGAGGCTGCGGGCAGCCTCGCAGCCAGCGCTCAACCGCGCTGCGCCACCAGGGGAGGCCCTCAAAATTGGTTTTTAAAGCATGGTCCAGTGCTAGGTTGAAGAGAACTGAATAAACAATCCCATTTCTTAAGCACCATCTCAATGACACTGGGTATTTTGGTTTGCTTATTTTTTGTTTTATTTTTTGTTTTTTGTTTTTTTTTAATATCTTTGCACACATGATGAGATTTTCTTAAATCTTGACAAAGGCCTGACTAGCCATTCTGAGTTTGACCTATGTTACTTTCTAGTGCTTCTGTATAGTTAGTTGAACTAACCAGTACCAACATGGTCTCAGAAAATGTCCACAAGTTTACTTTTAAAGTCCTATCAACATAGATCTCAAAAGTCTTCAAGGAAGTCACTTTTGACCCAGCTAGTTCATGTGTGTGGAACTGAACTTTTTGGGGAAGAACCAAAACTATAACTCTTTAAATCCCTAAAGTAAACCTCTTGACCTGGAAATGTCTTTAACCATATATACAAAAAAACATGCAAACTCTCATTCCAAAACTCCAAGTAGAAGTGTGAAGTGAGGAGGCAGGTAGGAATGGAATGGCTCCTTCAGCCTCAAGGTGTGAGTAGAGCAATGTTGGGTAACTGAATGCTCGCCTACTAGATGATATAATGATTTTCTTTAAAAACAAACTATCATTTATTGATTTCTATTATGTTCCTATCATCGTTTTCAAACATAATTATTCTTCACTACAATTTTAATAGTCATTTTTATTTCCATTTTACAGATAGAGAAACTGACACTCAGAAATGAGCTGGCCACTATTTCCTTGCTCATAATTGGTAGAGGGAGGATTTGAACCTAAATCTTTCCTAAGGTAAATGCCATAATAAAGACTGATTCAGATCTTCTGCTAGGTGATAAGAATAGAGAAACGAGACACAGATCCCATTGTCATTAAAGATCTGAGTCTAGAATGTAGTCACTTTGACCAATCCTCAGAGGTTGTCCCAGTTGATTTTCCTGGTCACTTCCCAGATGGCGTAAGTCCAGAGTCCTTCCTATCTGGGGCAGCAAAAATAGAAAACAAGAGCTGTCATTACATCACTTCCTTGCCACAGGGCAGGCACATTGCAGTGTCTTCCAAACAAGAGAAGTTACTGAATTTGGAGAATTCGACTCACAAGCAGCCTATGCTTTATAGATTTTTCAATGAGTTTTATTTAAACATCTCTAGACGTCATTAATATTTTTGCCAGCAGATATTTGTTCTAAAGAGAACTATTTTCTCTAATAGGAAACTATTTGGAGAGGAAGTAAAATGTAAAACAGAGAGAAATCAACCTTTCTGTTGATGTGAAGTATTTTAAAGCATGAATAATATAACCTATACATCTTTACATCACTGAGCCAAAGACAAGATCATTTTAAATGTTCCTTAAAAATTTAATTTTCTGTTATGTCTAAATTACCAACTCTTATTGCCTGCAAGAAACAAAGCTCTATATCTTGGACATTTTCAAAATAATTATGTACTGTGTATGATAATGCTTTTTACTAAATTAACTTGCTTTCTTAACATGGTGCTTTGTAAAGATCAGGCTAATCACTCACAATTCAAATCCAAGTAATTAGAATGAACTAATTTGTTTTTATGATCAGATTTTTTTAAACCTCAGTCATGTTATTCCTTGTTATTCAATTTCATATTTCATTTAGACCACATTCCTATTTTTTCCGTTATTTGTACAAGCAATCCTCTACCTTAGTAATGGTCCCACTTGAAATGTGTCTCTCTTCCACGCCATTACTCTTCTCATTTCCTTTCAGTTTATATGAAGCAATTAAAATCCAGAAGGTCAATGTGTCTTCTTTCTTCTCTCCCATCTTTTTCTTCCTGTCTCATCCTTCTGTACCTTACAGGATAAGATTGTCACAGATGGGAACTGTCTACAGCCTGATGTCCTCAGGCATTAGTTGGGGGAGGATATTGAGAGGAATTAGCAGTGTCTCCCCTCTCTCTCTGCACACACACACAAAGTGGGCTACTTTTCACTGTTTTTCAGCTCACCGATATGCCTGCCTTCCCTTTTTTTATTCCTTATTTATTATTTACTTCCCTTTACCTAATTTTCTTCCAAAATTTACTTAATTCCTCTCTTTTTACTTATGATACACCATCTTTATACAACATCTAATTATGTTCCTGTCTTAAGATGACTTTTTAAACTCACTATCAAAGAAAATGAAATGTTTCTCCATTTCTCTTGCAAAGGCAGAGTCTGCCAAATCGCTGTTCAGAGAACACATATATCAGAAACTGGGTGCTCTTAATTTAATACTCTAACTACCTAGTTTCCCAGACAAACGCACTATGTTCTAGGATACAGGAACTCTGTTTCCTACCACTGTGTCCTCGTGCCTGGTGTAGCCCAGAACACGATGGCCACAAACAGGTTGTGCTGAATTGAGTTCACGTTTTCTCATTCCTACTGTCAAAGTTTCACATATTCCATCTTCATTTTTTTTTAATCCTCTCAATATGTCCTTATGCAAATTAACTGCCTTTACTCATTTGAGCTTCAGGCACTGCTTGCAAGTGATGTTTGGATTTTTTTTCCCCAAGATTTATTTATTTATTTACACAAGCACTGGGTTCAGTCAGAAGCGCGGGAGGGTGAGAGAATTCACCAGAGCCAGAGTGGGAGCAGAGCAGGCAGACTGACAAAGTACACTGCTGAGGGGAGCAGCGGGCGGCAGGAGAGGTCTGTGCGTCATGTGGGACCCGCCTCCGGTAGCCGGGGAGCAGCCGGGGATCGAACCGGTGCTGCAGAGGCTGCGGGCAGCTTCGCAACCCAGCACTCAACCTCTGCGCCACCGGGGAGGCCCAATGTTTAGATTTTTTTAAGAAAAATTTTCTATCATTATAGTAGCACTCTATATTTTTCGACTCTCTCCCTTATTTGTAAGACTTGTATTTGAGTTTGAAATGAGACATAAAGAAAAAATGAGCCATGTATAATTTCAGTATTTATTCTTTTAACTTTAATTTTTTATTTTTCTTATCAAAGTAACATAGTACTGGTGACTAGAGCTGGACTAGATAAGCTTTGAGGCCCCTTCTAGTCCTTGAAGTTATT